CAACAACCCCCCACCCCCAGGATCCATCCTTTGCTCTCTGAGCTTTCAGTTACAGCCACATTGGGCTCTGCGGAAGGCTGAGCAGCAGCCACGGCGTGAGGGGGTCAACCCAGCCCCGGCAGACCCCGGAGCTCCCGGCGAGAGAAGGGCCAGTGCTCTGCCCCAGAGCTGGGGCTGGAGGAAAAGCAGATGTCGGTGCAGCGAGGCAACCATGGGGGATGCGATGAGGGCCCGGGGCTGAGCTCCCTGCAGCTGGGCTGCAGCACCAGGCAATCCTGGCTGCAAATTGGGATCAGATGTGGGCAGCTTCTCTCTCTAAATAGAGTGCTCGGGGTTGCTGCCTGTGTTGGGTTTGCTCTGGCTTTGGGAGGAGGAGGAGGGTTTCTGAGCACTGCTGGGGCCCAGGTTGGCCGCAGTGACCTGCAGAGCGTGGTACTCCCTTGGGAACCCTCTGCTTTCCTTGGGCAGCCCCACTGCCAGCCCCTTTGCAGCCGTGCTCCCTGCCTGTGCCAGGCTGGAGGTGCCTCTTGCCGGAGCAGGGGTGATGCAGGAGCTGGTGGCTGGTGTGGAGAAGATCAGGTTTGACTTGGAGGCTGATGTGGAGCGGCAGCAAGGAGCTCAGCCCCTGCCCTTCCTGGGTACAGACAGTAAGTTTGGGATCCTGTGGCATCCTTGGAGCGTGACAAGGGTGCAAGGGGGTGTTGGGGTTTTCCTCCTTGCTGGTGCTCCTGGCTTTTGCTGCACCCATCACAATGCCTGGGTGCTTCTAGTCCTTCCTCCTCCCTGGGCTCCTGCCTGAGGCCAGGCTGGCTCCGGGCACTGCTCCCTCAGGGATGGATCTGGCACAGCGTTGCGGGGGGCTGAGGTACTCTTTCTCTCGGTGGTCCCAGCATTGGGGCTGGCGGGTGACGCCCTCCCTGCCCTGCTTTCCCCCACAAAGATGGGGGGGCTGTCTGCGAGCTCTTCCACTGAGGGCTGCGCACCAAGGGCGAGTGCCAGGAAGGGACGAGGATGGGGCTGACCCCACCCTGCAAGATCCTGGGAACACCAGGGAGCCCAACGGGCCCCTCTCCGCTCCATGACCAGCCCATGTCCGTGGCAGATTGCTCTGTGGCCCTAGGACCCAAAATACTAACGCTGCTCAGAGTCCATCGTTTCCCCCAGCCCTTTGGTTGGGTGCTCCCACCCCTCCTGCACCGGGGAGGGCTTGAACACCTTCAGGGCAACCAGACCTGGGCAGTGCCTGGAGGACTGAGCTCCATGCACCCAGTGGGTGTTGCAAATCTCCTCTGCATCCCGGAAAGCTCCTGCTGGCATGTCCCAGGTCAAGGAGCTGGGGGTTTCCTGGGTGCAGGCAGGGCTGGAGGGGCTGCTGGGGGCTGTGGGGCACAGGCAGGCTGTGACAGCGGGTGCGTGCCATGGCCAGGAGCGCAGTGCCCCTTGGGGCACGTCAGCGGGGTGAAGACGGTGGTGTGCAAGCACTGGCTGCGCGGGCTCTGCCAGAAGGGCGACGGACACGACTTTCTGCACGAGGATGACGTGACCGAGATGCCCGAGCATTATTCCTACTCCAAGTTTGGTAGGTTGGGGACCCCAGGGAGCCTCTCCCACCCCAGCACCCACATCTTTCGGGTCTGGCCTCGAGCAAGCACCTGATGCCACCTCCTGTCTGCGGGAAGAAATGCCACCAGCACCCATCCAGGGCCACTGCTCCCCCAGCCCAGCCTGGGTGCTCCGGGGGCACCTCGGTTCCTCCCCTCCTTGGGCATTTTCCGATGCATTGGGTTTCAGCGAGCCTTGTCCCACCTGTCCCATCCCTTGTTCCCACAGGTGAGCACAGACACAAGGACTGTCCCTTCCTGCACGTTGATGCCACTGCCAGCACCAGGGGCTGTCCCTGGTATGACCGTGGCTTCTGCAGGCACGGTGAGCTGCTGCGATGGGTGCTGGGGGCTGCCCACGTTCCCTACCCACTGCGGGGGGTCCAGACCCTACTGCTGGCCCGACCTCCTGCCACCTCCAAGGTGACCAAGCCAGGGTGAAGTGAACAACAGCGGGTTGTCTGGGGACTGCCTGGGAGCGGGACAGGATGCCCAGTGGGGATTTGGGCTGGGGGCAGCGAAGATCCCACAGAGCTGAAGGAGAATGGGGCTGCTGGGGGGAAAGCTGGGCTCCCCAAATCCCTGTGGGGCAGGGGGTGAGGCCGTGTCCCCACGATCAGGAACCTCTCCTCTGCATGGCAGGTCCCCTGTGCGGGTCCAAGCACACCCAGAGAGCAATGTGTGCCAACTACCTCGTCGGCTTCTGCCCAGAAGGACCCAAGTGCCAGTTCGTGCAGTACGTACGGGGCAGGCTGAGGGGGGGAGCTTGGCACACAGCTGGCCTGGGACAGTGGGGGACAGCCCCCTCTCTGAGGCTGCAGAGGTGGCCGTGGCCCTTGCAGTGGCTGGATGGAGGACAAGGGAGCTTTGGTTCCTTGTCTGAACTAACGGAGCCCCTCTGGTCTCCCCCCTCCATGTCCAACCTGAGCTGGTGACAGGGTTTGCTGCGGGTGGGCAGGGGACAGCCCCAGTCCCCATGGGGATGCTTGTACCTGCTGCCTGAGCCCTGGGGGGCCATGGGAGCTGGAGTGGGGGGATCTGGGGGTATCATCACTCAGGAGTAACTGCCTGTCCTCTGTGTCCCTCTCCAGCCTCAAGGCCGGGCTGACGACAAGCAGCAAGGACCCCCCCAAGGTGAGGCAGAGGAGGTCCTGTGCCATCCCCTCCCGAGCCGAAGCCCTTTTGCTCTGTGCCTCTGCCCGTCGGCGTGGTGCACCAGCTGCCCCAGCCCCACAGATCTTGGGGGACAGCAGTGGCCAACTGCCCCTCCTGCCCCATGTCCCCCCCAGGGGCTGGGACAGCTGGATCTGGCTGCTGGTGAGGAGAGCGGCCGCAAGGATGAGCCACCCGTGGAGCCCCCTCTCCCAGGCACTGGTGCTACCCAGCAGCCGGCAGCGCAGCTGTGGGACCCCAAGAGCTGCCCCCCGGGCCCACAGAGCCTGCTTGAACGAGGAATCTGCTTGAAGGTGAGTGGTTTTGGGGACTGGGAGGCCTGGGAGGAATGGTCTTGCCTTGGAGGGAGGGTAGTGCTACGGCGAGGGGCAGCGTGTGGCGCCGGGACTCGCACAGCGCCCTGGGAACAGCTGCCTTGGCTCGGGGTGTGGGTCTTCTCCCACCCTGGAGCTCACCCCTCCTCTGGGCAGCTGGGGGGTGAGCCAGCGGGGAAGGAGGCTGTGCTGGGCTGGAAAGTGGAAGTGAAGGGATTTGTGTGGTAATAACCAGCCAGCAGGTGCTGGAGTAGCCCTGGAGAGCAGCGAGCCCCTCGCATCCCTCTGGGTTGGAGCTTTGTTGCCGTTGGAGGTCTTGGGGTGCTGCTTGCAGGGGTACAGCCATGCTGGAACAAGGCCTGGCTCTGTTAGCCCAGTCTTGATGTGAAAGTGAGCCTGTGGTATCGTGGCACTGGGTTGATCCACCACAAAACCAACACCTGCCTCTCCCCGTCCCCCCAGTGCGGCCAGAAAGGTCACTGGGCCAGTAAGCGTGGGAAGACTCGGCTGGGGAAGTGACCTGTGGAAGGAGGACACCGTAAAGCACGATGGGGCCAGCAAGATGGCTACTAGGGCAGCTGCTGGACTAGCAAAGCCCCTGGGTTTTGCTCCTCACCAGCTCACAGCTCTTTGCACAAGCAGCAGAGAACTCACAGCTTCACTAACGCGATGGAATCGGACCCTTTGCAGCCCCCTTGTTCCCACGGACCGGGGCAGCAGGAGCAGGCTCCAGGCAGCCACAGGTTTGAAGGGGTGTGGAACCAGCTTGTGCTGGGATTCTGGACAGATGAGGGTGTGGGTGAGCTAATCCCCCGTGAAGGAGGGGGGTGAGAAGCCCCACATTTGAGAACAGACAGCCCCAAGCAGGAAAGAGAAAACTCCCAAAGGCTTTTATTGCTGGCGAGAAGGAGCTGTCGGTGAAACACAGCACCACCGCTCCCCTCTTTGAATAAAGAGTTCAGAATTGGGGTTTTTCCCCTTGGCTTTTATTTTGTTTTTAACCTTTCCTGCCTGTAACACGGCCAACCCTTTTGCAGACCCGTCTGGTGACGGCAGGCTGCAACCAGCGCTCTCCCAACTGTCCTCGTGTGTCCGAGGCAGACACGGGTTTGCCCTTCGGGCACCACAGTGAATCCAATGGATTTTCTTCCTCCCAAAACAGGGTGCTGTGGCCTGAGTGCTGCTGCTCTAACGCCTTCCCAAAGGTCCCTCCCTCAGAGCCGGGGCTGGGGGCAGCGCGTGGAAGGGCCCTGCAGCGACCACCCTTCTCCTGCCAGCGTCGGGCTACCTGCGGAGAGGGGCAAGGGGAAGACGGGCTCTGCCGGGCACAACTCTGCTGATTTAACCGTTATTCTGGCCAAAGCTCACCCTGCCCACCCCGTCACAAACTGCCAGACATGTAGATACACATTAATTAATCTAAATTAGCAGCCCAGGTCAAGGAGTCATCCTGTGTCAGGCGTCCCAAAGCGAGATTTCTGTAGACAACAGGACGGACAGACCCCCCAGGCGCCAACCCTCCTTCCGGGACTAAACGTCCCCTGAACCCCCGAGCAGTGACCACAGGCTGCTCCTGTCTGTCCTCCCTCTCCATCTGCAGAAAGAGCAGCCCCCTCCACCACCACTGAACGTGTCCCTGACAGTAAATGGGCCTCTCCCACTGGGAATCCTCATTGGGACGCTGGTTCTGAGCGCTTCTGCTGACTCCCAATCATCTGTGGCTGTTCCTTGGGTGCTTCTCCAGCTCCTTCAGTGGTATTTACGCCAGCGATGAGCCTCTAGAAAAACAGCAGGGGGGGGGAAACAAGCGGCCCAGGGTCAGCCCAGCGTGTGCTTTGCCCTGCAGCAATGAGCAGGAGCCTGGCTGCAGCCCGCTCTGTTTGTGAGCAGCGCAGGGAGGGCAAGTCCTGTCCCCCAAACACCAGTAAATCCCTTGTCAGTTAGGAGTAAAACCAGGGAACAGGTGCTGGGCATTGGAACAGCTCCTCCCGCTGCTTTATGCAGGGTTTGAAAGTGCTGCTGAGGGTTCCTGAGAGAGTTCTGCAGCTCTCCAGGGAGAAGCTGTGAATCAGTAACTGTTATCATCACCTTTATCAGCTAAATTCCTCTGACTAAGGTCAGAAAGCTGTTCTCTGATATTTAACTGTGTAGTATTTCTATGATTTCAGAGCTTAACGTGGATGGCAAATAGACTTTCCACCTGCCTGAAACAGGGCAGATACCAAGAGGGAAACCTTACTGATGTGCTGATAGTTCCAGCCGTAGCTGAGGAGGCAGTACCCAGCCAGCAGCATGGAGATCCCAGCCGGTCCTCCTCTCTTCACGTTGATGTATTTGTCGTAATAGCTGCTCCAGGCTGTTGGAAGAGAAATGCAAGGGTCAAATCCCACACAGGTCACAGAGTTCACTGGTTTCCAGGTAACTTTCCAAAGCCCAAATTGTTTGGTGATTTACTTCAGATCCAACCTGGCCCCTCGGACCAGGCTGCAGCAAGTAAATCAGGTCAGGGGGACAACGCTGCCCCAAAAGCCAGCGATTTACCCTCACCTTTTTGCACTCCTCCAAGCAGCCCCTGGAGAGAAAAGTCGCAGGTGGCCACCCACCCACAGGGGCAGCTCCCCCAGCCGTACGTCCAGCAGCCGCCTCCTGCAGAGGGGACCTGTGTGAGGAGGAGTCAGAGGGGTCAGAGGTGGGGACGTGAGGGCGATGCTCACGGTGCTCGTGCTCCCTGTGCTGGGTGGGGAGCGCAGAGCCGGTATCAGACACGGCTGCCAGTGACTTGGGGGAGAAGAAAAGGGGGAGTGAACCATCTCTCCCACCAAGTGCGTCGCCTCCACCACCCCAAACATGAAAGAACCTGTCTTAAACCGAAACAGAAACGTAAACCCTTGGTTTGGCAGTCTGGAGGGTTGGACAGTTACCTCCCTGGAGCCTTTCTGAAGCAGCCCAGCATTCCCCACCCCTCCTCCCCCATCCACAGCACCCACCACAGCCTCACAGCAGGGTCAATCTCAGCATCACAGACTTTTGTGTCCCACATTACCTTGCTGTCCCTCTGAGAAACTGCCCTTTGGTGTCTTCACGGTGATCCCCACGTCTTCTCGGAAAGGTTTCCCTGGAAAAAGACTCAGCCCACTGTAATTGGGATGTAAGTCTGGAAACCACTCCAAGCCCAGGGCACCTGCCTGCCTGCTCCTGCCAGGAGCCCGGCAGGGACAGACAGGTGGGCTCGAGGTGCGGAGCAGGAACTGGTGCGGCGCCAGCTCCTCCTCCCTCCTCACGTTCGGGCCGGGCTCAGAATCCACGGCCATCTGCTGCTTGTTCTCCCGAAGCTTTTGTATGCTGGTTAGGTCATTTTTGGATGTCCCTTCATTGTGACCGCTGAAACCCTCTCCCACTGACAGATGGAGGTTCTTGGTATGCAAAGCAGAAAGAGGGGCTTTGTATTCCACACCAGCTTCCAGGTACATCTGCTTCTCTCCTGTCACGGTGCTGCCTCTT